ATCCAAACCAACCTCAATCACACCGCGCAGTGAATCTAGATTGATAGCTTTTATACAATTCCAGTTCCAATTTCCTAATAATATTTTACACAATTCTCACTTTTTAAAGTTACGCAAGCACTGAAATCCATACTTAATAGGAAATGTGTTTTTTTTCCTTTTAAAGCCACAGTATTATTGACGAATGTGTCGATTTTGTTGTTGTTGTTATTTATGCTTGTGCACGAGTGACGACACAGTATCACCAAATAATGTTTCATGATTGGAATGGGATGAGTTCCGGTTTTAGAAAATAAAAACGGACTTTTGGAACGTTTCAAAACAACTTGGGATATCTTCAGATGTTCGCATCATTCACGTTGCTGACTCGTGTGCGAGACGTCTGTGCTTACAGCAGTGATGTCACCCGAAGCCACGTGACTTAACTTTTGGCTGCAAAAACACGGGAGCGACGTAAAATTCGTGAGGTCGGATCATCCGACATTTCATATCAATGCTTAATTTTCGTTTTTTTTTTGTTTTACTTATCCGATGATTGTGAGCACATCCCGAAATACTCGCATAAAAGCGCAGGGCTATCGATAAGACAAAATATAACAAAGATAAAAATGTCATGTTCAGCATGAACTGTTTAACACGTAGGCTTTCGCGACAAATAGCCATAAGAGGTGTTTTTTTTTGGGGTTAGATCGCGTTTAACGACACGTATATATTCATGCGATCACACCCCCCCCCCCCCCCAAAAAAAAACCTCTATTGTGGACAATCATGAACTGTGACACCAAAAACATCGGTACGTTATTGGTATTTTCCAGAATAAATAAAATTAATGTTTTAAAAAAGTGTATTACTAATGTAGGGCCCTATTTATAAGCATGGGATGTTGCCACTCGTGGGAGGTATCGAGAACCGCCTCTATCAATCGGCGAGGAAGATAGCAACCCCAGAGAACACTGGCGCAGCACGTGAGGGAGACAACGCTCAGAGCTCTCTGCAAAGTCTGGTGAAAGTGCTTTTGGCGAATGCCTATGAGGGTCAGCGTGGCATTCCTACACGGGTTTTCTGGGACATGCTCGAAGGGCCTCTACGTTGGCGTTGATCGAGCCGGGGTTCTTATGCAATTCAGGCTGATACGACCAAGGGAGGACCTCGTGCCCAGGCTGGGGGTCCCAGATGCCAACATTTTCCACTCGCGCACGCCAAAAAAGAGATAAACGGACAATACTTGCGAGGGTGGGAAGCGGCTGTGCGGCGGTTAGTGCGCTGAGCTAGGAACCTGTCGACCAAAGTGCAATGCCCACTCGCGATCAACACCGGTGACGAGTACCCAAATGGGACCTGGGCTTCCCCTAGGTCGACTCAGCCTCAAATGAGTACCCGGTGCGGTCTGTCACCATTGCCACTCGGGAGACAAAGGCGGCCGGGCGTTTGTGCTGGCCACCCACGCCCTCGTGTGCCGTGCGGGCCTACATAGGTGCTTGCTATTGGCACTTGCCCCGTGTCAGTCTGTTCAGGCTATACGGGGGATCTTTGTCTTTGTGGGTGCGAGAACGTGTGAATGCCTGCACCGGTTAAGAAGAAAATTGCACGGGGGGGGGGGGGGGTGGAGGGGGGGGGTTGAGATGGCCACCATCTTTGTACAGTGCTACAAAAGCACAGTGAATGTCATTACAATGTGCAAATGAGAGTCCTCACCTCGTCTGCGTACAACACGACCCGGGTGTGCGTGAGGACACGGTGACGCGTTCACACACCGTGGGATTCAACGCAGCCGGGGGGAGGGAGGCGGGGGTACGTGGGGACATCTCTGCCACTGGGGGGGGGGAGGGGGGATGGACCGAGCCCCCCCCCCCCTACGCCCTACGGATCAGAGCCCAGATGAAATTCTGCGGTGCCAATCCGCGCGTGACAACGTGATCACAACGCTGTAGCGGTTTCGTGCCAGCGCCGCGGTCAGCATTGTCATCGGCCGTGGTCAATCCACTGCTCGATTGAAGGGTAACCCCATCCACGAGTCGCCACCGCCACCTTTCGCACCATCCTCGTGATGTAACAATCCACCCACAGCTCCTGCACACGAATGGATTTCATCGCTCCATCTCCCCCGGGGCCGCTCATAGCTCACTACTCAGTCCATTTTCCAGTGGTGAGCACTGGCATATATATATTTTCTAGTCCATAGATGAAACAACCATATCCAATCAAATACCGCAGTACCAGTGCACCGCTGAATTCACGCTTTGCATGTTTGTCTTTTTCATCCCCCCTCCCACACACACCGCGCAGCATTGCAAGATTTCAAAATGTATTAGACGCGACTGGCGTACAGCGAGGGATATGTTTTCTCCCGTGTCTCTCGCCGATGGGCCCGTCCTTATCAAGCGGCGACCTCTTTTGTGGGAGAATTAAAAATTAATTGCGGCCGGATTACCTTCACTGCAGTGATCAAGTGTCAAACGTGCTGCTGCGAAAAGGAGCGGCTGTCGGTTTCTGCTCGCCCACAATTTGTCTCGCTCAGTGTCCGCGTACACTCGAAGCACACCCGAAAGAAAGAAAAAAACTTCCCTAAGTAGCTGTAATTACAGAGCCGCATGGTACTCGTGTGCGCGTGCACGCGTGCGTGCGTGCACCGCAGTGATCGTGCCACCGTGCGCGGTGAGCCCCCCCCTCCCCCAACCTGCGTTTCAAACACTGTGTGGATTTTTCTGAACATCTTTCATGCGCGCACTGTGGTTTAACGATGTATCATTGTAATTGAAAGCCTTTCCCGTGTTATGTAAAAGTCGATTTGAGTTAAGGGAGTGTTGCACATTTACGACGGTGGCACGCACACCTTGAGTGCATTTCTATTTAGCAGGGTGTTGCTATACAATACCCGGAACCAAGTCTACAATGTTATACGATATTTCCTTAACGAAACAATGCATTACATAACCACGGCCTATAACACCCACATACACATCATCACATAAAATACACAATTGTTGGATCATCGTCCTCCTGACCCCCTTTATCTTGACACACACACGGGCTTTGGTTATTTGAAAAATACATTTTGTCTGTGAAAATGTAATAACAAGAAATATGATGATGATAATAATAATATAATCTGCACGGGCACATTGTGGCCGTGTATTTGTTGTACCTATGCGTCGCGTGTGATGGCTTTATAATGGAGCCACTGTGTACAACACTTTGTGCACAACAACAATGTCAAATAACAACACTGTGGCCTTAAATGAAAACAAAACATACATAATAGGTGACGTTTCGGGCAACGACCCTTCCTCATAGCACATGGATCATGCATGTGGTATGAATAAGGACCGATTGCCCGATAAGACGCCTATTATATCTACGTATGTTTTACTTTATAAAGGCCACAACCGTGCCATTGACGACGGTGTTGGGTTCATTTGTCGCGTTATTTGCACCGCATTGGCAATAAAAGGGAGGAAGAATGAAACATATATGGATGTCTCCTGTGAACATGGCGGAGACGTTGGGCGACACAGATGTCCAATGGCATCGTCTCTGGCCCCTTGATATCTGGCGAGCCATGCAGGGGCAAGCCGCGGCAGGCTTCAACACACGTGGCAATAGGGATTCGCGCGTGCAGCCAGCTGTGAAAAATTTTTCGCCGTGCGTGTAATTACGTACGTAGTATGTATGCCCGAAACCTAGCGACTATTTGATAGCGTGTTCTGTACTGAGTCTATGTACCTGTACATGCATACATGCATCGCAGCAGGTGTAGAACATGTATGTGTACATACATGCATGTGCGACACTGCACTTGGGTAAGCACGTACGCATTGATTTAGCGTGTTATAATGTAATCATGTATACATATGCACATACGCTACATGCTCTATATGCACATCACATCATGTGTACACCATCTATGTGTACACATATGCACATGCAAATGATGGAAACGTATTTATGCATTGAATGTCAGTGTCTGCGTTATGTATGCATGCATATGCACACACCATCCAGCATATCCGCACATGCATACATCACATCATGTAAACACGTGTGCACATATATGCGTTTGCAACACTATACATGCATATATATCAAATGCCATTTTACTCGTACAAATAATAATGTCATTTACCCACTCAAGCTGCACATAAACGGGAGTCTCAAGACTCGTATGCAGAACCACCCTGCAATGGGACGTTTGGCCAATTCCCTTAATGACGTTGGGCATATGCATGTAGAAACATTTAATGCATGCAGGCACTGGTGCCAACTTTACATTGCCTGCATGTGGCTGTATATTCACACATACGTGCCCTTGTCTGTTGGGCGTATACATGTGGTGTGTGTGTGTGACTTGCCCTTTTATTGAAGCTCTACACAAGGCATCTCAATGGGATCTCATCCCTAGCTACATACATGCTCGTGTGTGTGTGTGTGCGTGTGCAAAGCGCGCCTGTGTGCACACGCGTGTATCTATTTGTATCCTGCACAGCAACTTCACCACATACGGTGCATATGCGCCTGTGCAATGGCGTGTGCGTAAGTGCAAGTGTGCGCGTGGATCCATTCATCGTTCTGCATAACGAGCTACCCATAACCGCACACGTAACGCGTTGCAGCTAGCGGCACGCACGGCTTCACGCCTTGCACGCGAACCCACCCAACACTGCACACGGCCCGTGCAGCATACATTCATACATTCACGTATCGGTGTTGCCTACCTGTTCCCCCCATATCGTGCACACCCAACCTAGCCCATGCGTACGTTCGTGTGCGCGCGCACCTGTGCACAGGCACACCTGTACACCTGTACGTGCGAGCGTCTTCAAAACCGCCGACCTAAGCGTCAGTACACGCCCACACCCAGGGGCACACGCACGCACGCTAACACACACACACACGAACGCACGCACGCACGCACACGCGCATGGTATGCACGCACGCAACGCATCGAATTCAACCTCCCCGTTATTTGCCCTAGCGTCCACACACATACACCGGTTCGATACCTGAGCATGGCTTGCTCTTTCTCCTCCTCCTGCTTCTGCCGGTCCATGACAGCCAGGATGATCTTGCGCTCCTCCTCGGTGAGATGGCTCAGGTCGGGCATCTCCGTGCCGGCCTGCGCCGATCCGAGAGCCGGCGACACCACCTCGAAGCGCGCTTGGTTTTGATTGTGCAGTCCCAAAGGCGTAGACATCACGGCTGATTGCTGCGGGTTTGCTTCTCTTTCCCCCCCCACCCCCACGTCCCTCTCCTCTTCTCGTCCCCAACACGCAAGTCACGCGAAATGGTTAAATACCACTCTAGACACCTAACAGGGCATTATTATTGTTGTTGTTGTTATTATCGTGATTGTTGTCGCCGCAAGATAATGCCGCTCGCTGGTTGGTATCTTCCGTCGACGCCGTTGCTAACGCCGCATCCTGTCGTAGTAATAATGACAATAATGAGTGGCCCTATTATTATTAGTAGTAGTATTTCTGTTACTGCTGCTCCGCTCGCCGCCGCTGCCTCTGCCTCCTCGCTCGCTCGCTCCGTGACGGACGGCACCAGCAATGGCAGCGGTGAATCGTCAGAGCCGCCGCTGAATGTATGTAGCAGACGACGTCGGTGTTGTTTTCATTTAGGGGGGGAGGTGGGTGGGTGGGTGGGTTGTCGTCGCTCCAGATATTCCGGGCGTGGTGGACGAAGGCGTCTTCGGCTCGTCTTGCGAGTGTTCTTCCTCGTTCAGCATCCAGCACGTTTAGTCACCATGTTTTTTCCTCCCCCCCCCCCCCCCTCTCTCAGATGGAAGCATCTTCCTCCTGCTGCTGTGTGCTCCTCTTCCCTCTCTCTCTGTCTTCTCTTATATAACCGTACATCTACACACACGATTTACAACGGCAACACAAATGGGTTTTTAATTTCGGCTAGCGGCCGGCTCTCTCGCCCTCTCGGCGTTCTGCTATGTATTTATTTTTTTTGGCGGCTGCACAATGGCTCAATATACGAATAACTGTTGTGTATATTTTAGTAGGATGTTAGGAATACAAAATCATATTTTTCTTCTCTCCTCTTCCTTTGTTGCGTTGCTAATGCTGGATGTTGCTGCTGCTTACTGCTGCTGCTGCCTTTGCGACCGCGTATCCTCTTGTTTGTACAGAAAACAAAACAGAAACAATAACAAAACGGTCAGTTCCTTTTCATTTTTCTCTCTCTCCCTGTGTCTCGTTTCTCAGTGGCTATTACATTTAAAACGAAATCCTAACAGTTATTTTTTTTGTTATTCCACCTTATAGCCTCTTCGCTCCGGCCGGAGAGAGAGAGAGAGAGAGAAAAAATAACAGTGGCTCGCGCAAAAACGCCGAATCAAGCGACCGCTGGCAAGCGAAAAAAAAAGGATGGGACGGGTGTTCCGGAATAATAAAACAGGAGGGGGTGGGAGTGGGGGGGGGGGGCAGGCACAATACGGACAGGCGGCGGCGGCAGCGTGCGGATGAGTGGGCGGAGCGGGGTCGCTCTCCTTCTCATCAGCGCCTCTTCCTCTATCCCTCTGGCCCGCCGCTGCCAACTGCATTCGCATTGTGACGTCGGCACGTCCGGCGGAGGAACGCGCGCGCGCGCGAGGCACGCCGCGCGTGCTTGCGTCACGGCGGTTCGAGAAAGGCGAACGAGCGAGAGAGAGAGAGGAGGGGAGGAGGGGAGGGAGGGAGGGGATTTATTTCTCGTTCTTCTCACGCCCTCTCGCGGGGTGCTCACCCCGTGACATCATCACGCACGCGCACACGCACGCGATTGCTACGCAATGTGCATTGGTTTCAAACGTAACCGCAAAAAAAAAACGTGGTTAGGAGGGGGGGGGGGGAAAGTACGTGCACACAAGCAACCTCTCCATTTGTGAACGAGCACAATCGGTAGTTCAGTGATGGTCTTGCTCTCTGGTCACCTGCAATGTGTTTCTGCTATGGTGGCTTCTTTCTGGTTATCTTCAGATTGTGCGTACAGTACAGCATTTCATTCGGACACTGCTCTGATATTGTGCTGTGAACGTGGGCCATTTCTGCCCGCGACCACTGCTCCCAATGTGGTTTTTATTTTTACTGACCCCTGAGTGATGATAGGCTGCCTCGACCATAGCTCCGCTCTGGCTGAATTGAACACACACGGAATGGGAATTGTTTGCCTTTTTAACGCTACTCCAGTGACGTTATGAATACACCGTGTATATATTGCACTGATACACTTTACCTCTTTGGCAAATGATTATATATATCCTTTTGCGAGTGGCAGACTTAGCGAGATGGCTGGTGCATTATTAATGAGCCCTCTCCCCCCCCCCCCCCCCCCCACCTAGGCTTCATCAGAGTGTAAAATGGGTTGCATGAGCAGGTGACATCACACAAGCGTACTAAAACACCCCTTGTGCCAACTGCCGAGCACACCGTCAATTCTCGTTGCGTGCTAGACCTGTTCGAGTTGCTGCGAAGCTTACATTTTGATCGTGCGTATTATTCCCATTGTGTAGCCGATATTGTACATGCTACGGCCATTCAATGGGCATTCGTCTTGCAGGATATTTGTGTTTGTTTCGTTTTATTGGCAATAAAAAAAGCTGAACCATTGGGCTACTTCTGCGTCCACCCCATTGATATTTTAATGATAAAATGTGAGTCGATAATCTCAGGCAGTGAGGTCCTACGTCATAGTTCCGCACGCACGACATGCATATGAAAGAAAGTACGTTGGTTCCTTCGATGTGCCAGCTTTTATAAATATAAAAAAATCGCCGACATGTCATTTCGTCATAGTGAGCCAGCACATCTGCATCCCTGGCTACACAGTCGGTATCTGCCGTGGACACAATGTGAAATCATTCGGCGTTTTTCTCCTTCTGGATGCGCACACAGCTGATGGATGTCACCTGTTACCATCGAGCACCATACGTTAGCCTCATCCCGAAAGCCGCCAGCCACAATGAAGGCTTTATCACGTGGTCTCCTGGCATTAGTTTGCTCAGATTAAAGAGAATGGTCGCAGTAATTTTTTGAAAACGCATTGAAATTAATTCAGTTACACGAAAGAGGCAAATGGCTGCCTTCCACCACTTTTCTGATGGGTCTTGTACCGCTTGAGTATGTTTGCCTTGTACCACCTCCAAAAGATTAATTATAGTACCTGTCAAATATAACGTCTATCCTGCGGACTTTTTCTCCACCGTGGAGCAGGCAAGTGCATTTATTCACAGGAATAGTTTAAATTGTGATAGAAGCATGACACTTTACGATGATGTATCTTTTCAGAAGAAAAAAACCCCAATAGCCACCTAAAATAAAAAAACTCACATTTTTTTGCAAAAATAGCCACCTTTTAATAGTGGCTATATTTTATTTGGGCGGCCATCTTTAATCTGTTGGTGACTATTGCTTTTATTTTTTTTATTAATTGATCCTACGAGATAATACCTGCCGAATGTGGTACCTGTATGACCATTTTATAGATTACTTTATGTTATCTTCACCACGACCAGTCTTAAGTCATATTTTTACAATGTGTCTGAAAGGTGGGCACGTGAGTGAGTGAGTGAGCGGGTGATTAGTAGGCAGATGAGTAATATGGGCTGGATACCGCAGGCCTGCAGGGGCCGTATCTGGATGTCTCTGTACGTGAGACAATCAGGACACCTGTAGGCGTGGGGCAATCATGACACCTGTGCAATGTTGACCCGAGTCGGTGGCGGCTGGCATGGAGGCGGAAACTGGAACCAAACGCACGTGTCAATCAGAAAGGACTGGTGCAGATGGATGTTAACATTTATAGATCTGTTTACGCAACTAAATAAAGCACAAATGCGATTGCATCGGTCGCGTATATGGAAGTCCGCCGTTTGCATGACAATAACGTCGATAAGGGGAAATCTAAATTTAGTACTGCAAGATTGTCATCTATTGGAGTGTTTCTCGACCTGTTTTGGCTCGCGGACCAGTCAGCCGATGCAAACATTTTCGCGAACCACCCAGCCCCCATCACTGCTGGTGACAAAACGCAATCACGTATCTCTAAATACCACTCATACAAAAAATATTCATATTACCGTAACATAACTTTTTTTTTAACGCAGCTATAATGAGTTTTTTTAGGTGGGGAGGGGGACATTTAGAACTTAGGTTCAGGGTAGTTTACCTAACTTTATATATATTTTTAAATATAAGTTAAATAATATCATAAGTGAAATATTAATGTCATGATTTCCCGATCAACCTGCATTTGCATTACAGCGCGCGGACCACCTGGAAGACCGTCGCGGGCCACTGATGGTTCGGGGACAGCACTTTAAAGAACCACTGCTCTGCAGGGCCTGCCTTGGGCCTGGTTTGTTCTATGGTCTGGCATGTTTCAGTACCATGGAGAGCGCCCAACACAAGCATTAACAATGCAGAGGCCTCTAGTGGTTACAGAGGGTCACGTTAACCTAATACACCGTGCAACTTACTCCGTAAGAATGCAAACAATTCAATATGTTCCTGCGCATAAAAGCGATATTCATCGAGGAATCGGTGCATCGTGAAACTCCTAAATTGAATTATGTTGTTTTAGAGTTTTTTTTTTCTTAGCTAACCTTGTGTCTATTTAGCCTCGTATTTATCATTATAGTACTAGTCCATAAGCCCGGGCTGGATATTGCCTTTGTTTGTACCAGCTGAGGAAGTGGCATCAGTTTCTTTGCATAGCCAGTAACATTTAATTATATGATAACCATTTGAAATGAGTGGGTTATCAAATTATGCACTCTTACTCGCCATATAAATAAGTACGTACTACTAAAGTTTTACGACCTTAGGTGGTACAAAATTCTGCTTTGGCTCATGGACTCTACGTGTCTCAATGTGTTTTCACTGTTTAAACAAATGATACACTCACTCACTCAGCCAATTAACCAATCATGCTGCTATTTCTATTTAATGCCTTTGGGCTACCACAGTCTAGAAGGTGGTTCCCAGTAAACATCTCAACGGTAGCCCAACGTTGCCACGCGGCTGGAACCTTTGGTACAACGTTGGCCCAACGTTCCATGTTTACTGCATTACCACCACGAGCAATGCATTCGTAAAACCCTTCGCCCATAAGCATGCGTGCACACACGTCACGCGCACTAAGTGCCACCAAGCAGCACGCATCTGTCGTTTGTTGGTCTCTGCTCGTTGACGTCATTCACAATTGCAGGGTTCGTGTTTAAAAATAGCTTCAGAGAGTCCT